TTTTTTTTTTTTTTCGGGGGGTGGGGAGTTGAACGGCAAAAAGGAAGCTTGTGCAGCTAGATCCAGGTGGAAACTGTTGCATGTTTTTGTGAGCTGTGGCCTTGGGTGGTAGCTATGAACATTGTTAATGCTCTTCTTTTTGGGAGAGCCATTTAAATGTGGCTTTTTTATGTTAATGATCTATAACAGCATGAAGCTCACTTCCTTCCCTAGCTCCGTGTAGGATATGTCAAGGCATAGGGAACAGAATTTGCAAGACTGCCCCAGGCACGCTACCACTTGAGCTAAGGTCTCATTAGCAGAGTTGGTGAGTAATTTGAAAAATAAAAACCTTTTTTCATCTTTGATTCATTTGCAATTTGACTTTGGGCCTGATCATCAACGAATGTAAATTGGCATAGCTCCTCGAGCTGCTACGACCGCTGTCATCTTCATGATTTATTTCCTGACTGCTTTTTTTTGCTATAGTTTATGGGAATCCATCCTAAACACGTGTCGGTCTTTAGCAGGCTTGACAATGCTCTTTGCCCAAGTCATGCCATTTTGTTTTGTAGACTTTATTTTTGTTGGTTTTATCTGCTGACCTGTTTTACTGCTCTAATCTGATCAGTAGCTGAAAGCACTATTCACCTGGAAACTCCTGGCCTCAGAAACCAATAGTTATTCTGGATTTGTGGGGAGCATAGCAGTCCTCGACTTGCTCGTGCGTTGGGATGCTGATGGAATGATAGCAGGGGAATACTCCATCAGTATCCACTTTGAGCAGAGACCTTTTTGGTCGCATCATTTCTCTAAGTGTTTAGGACAGGCTTTCTAAAGCATTTTTATAATGTGTACAGCCCATGGCAGATATGACAGCTGTATTTTCAACTGCTGTGGAGCAGGGTGGCAGATTTTTTGATGCTTGCACAGAAGGACAAGTTTCCTTTATTGAATCAGTCTTTTTCTCAGGTGCTTGAATCCCATATGAAGGGATATTATAACTCCTGCTGGATTATATTATCCGATGGGACTCTATCTCCTATCGGGGAAGAGAATTAGAGTATCTCCCTAGAGCAGAGGGGCCTCGGGGTTGGGACTGAGAGAGATTGCAGGGGAAATCCAAGAAACGGATGCCTGGGGAGGATGTTTAGCATGAATGTGGGGTGCCATAGTGGTTGGCTGAATTGCCAGCAATACTAACCCCTTGGAAAGAGGTAAGCGTGCACTATATAGAGTGTGTGGATATGCTTATTAAAGCAGGAGGGCTATTCTTCCAGCTTATGCGATGTTCAGCCAAAGTCAAGGGCCTAATGTAAACCCATAAAAGCAAAGGCAGCTCAAAGTGAAAGCTAAAAAATTCAAACTGACATGTTGGGCTTTGCAGAGAACAGGGAAGGGGCAGCCTCGATGTTTATCCTTTAAAAGGATATCACCAGGATTTAATACTGGGCTGCTCGCGTCATGAGAAACAATCGGAGAGGAACATGAATGGTTTAAGCCCTCACAAACTCATCTGCAAGTGCTTATTGCACAACACACTGCACCGGCTGTTTATTAAGGACTGGTCTAAATCAAACCTCACATATTCACTTTTTTGGAAAGATTACTAAATTGCCTGTAGTACGAGTGATTTCCCCTGGGGCCATCATGGCTTTTTCTACTCCCCTCTCAATCTGGGGAGCGCAAGATCAGAGCAGGAATTGGACCCAGGTGTCTCACTGGGTGCCCTGACCACAAATCTAATCCAGGGGGTAAAAATTGAAAGGCAAGACAAGCTGACACTTGTGCTTAGATCTGGCGTGCCAGATTTTCGCCTGGAGCAAACTGGGGTTCACAGTGGAAATGCTGACGGGATCATAAGAATACTGTTGTGTCAAGCTGATTTACTGCCATATGGCATGTGCTGTGACACCTTGCTCAACTGCGGTACTACAAACGGCAAGGCTGTGAACAGCCCTGGACAAGAGGCTGTTCGGGGGGGAGCTCTGAATTGACAGTATAAATGATGCCACTGTTCCCCTCCTCCGTTCTGATGCACATTGTTCTCTCTCAGCATCCTCGACTGATTTATGAACTGCTACAGCATTACTATTAATGATACTTCTTTAGGCAGCTGCTGAGCATAGTGGCAGTGTCTGCTCTCGAGGTTGCAAAGTGTTTAGGTTGCACAAGTGAACAGTTAGTCGTTTTGTTTTTTAAAGCTGCAGTGGGGAAAAAAGCTTGTCTTTTGGAGGAATAAGCCTTATTTATACCCTGACAGCTGTCTGCTTTGAGGAGAGCTGCAAGGAGAGAGCTCCTTAAAGACTGAAGGATGAAAGCTAATAAACGGAGTGTCATTTTATTTTATGCGGAGTGTCACTTTGCCTGAACTCCAGAAAGGTAACACGAGTCAAATCCTTCTGTAACGGCACTACTCAGGTCGTAGGATCATAGAAAAGGAGCGTTGGAAGGAGCCTCAGGAGGCCATCTAGTCCAACCCCTTGCTCAAAGAAGGACCATCCCCAACTAGATCATTTCAGCCAAGGCTTTGTCTAGCCAGACTTTAAAAACCTCCAAGGATGGAGAGTCCACAACCTCTCTGGGTAACTTCTTCCAGTGTTTTACTACCCTCCTAGTGAGAAAATTCTTCCTAATATCTAACCTCAACTTCCCTTGCTGCAACTTGAGCCCATTGCTCTTTGCTCTGTCATCTGCCACCGCTGAGAACAGCCCAGCTCCATCCTCTTTGCAACCAGCCTTCAGGCAGTTGGAGGCTGCTGTTAAATCCCAACTTAGTCTTCTCTTCTCCAGAAGAAATAAGCCCAGTTTCCTCAGTCTCTCCTCATATGTCATGTGCCCCAGCCCCTGAACCAGTTTTGTTGCTCTCCACTGGACTTTTTCCAGGTTGTCTGCATCCTTTCTGTAGTGGGGGGCTCAAAACTGAACACAGTACTCCAGATGTGGCTCAACTGCAGTACTACAAACTTCACAACTGCACTTCTTTTACTGCCCACAGAGCTGTATCACCTGGCCTCTGATGCTGCCTGTGGGTCCTGGAGTAACCAACAGGCAGTATGCAGAGCGTGTTAAGTGGTGGGCTAGTAAGGAGTGCTCCTATATTGAGCCGCCCACCTTACTGTGCTCGACCAAAAACCATGCTTTGAGTCTCTCTCCTGGGGTGCCTGTGTCTGGCCACCCGCCTATCTGGAGCAAGCCTGGGGTAACCACCACCACCACCCAGACCTGGGTCTTTTTTAGGGCTCTGTGCAGCCTGGGGTACACAGACCCTGCAGACTTTGGGTGTGCTTTGCCCCCAGCAGGATGTATCTGAGTGCTTCTTATAGCCTGCAGCATTAAGAGTAGCCTCCCTTATGTCGCTGAGCAAAGGGAGCTAAAAGGCTAATCTTACCCTTTCAAGCACCCACAGCGAAGATGTGCTAGAACAGATAGCTTTATTGCTCAAAGAGGGAGAGCATGGGGAAGGAATACAAAACAAAATGAATATTGAAAGGAAACTGCCCTGAGCAAATCAGTATAGGCTCGTTTGGCCTTCCGATACGCATCTGGAATACAGTCCTAAATTACTGGCTAAATATCAGGTAAGTTACTCACATATTCATCCAGAGATTTCTGGAGGCCTATGCTTCTGTGCTTGTGTGTTTCCAAGAAGATGTCTCTGCCCCCAAGTTGGAGTGAACCTGTAAATAACTTTTCTGATCTCATCACCCGGACCCCACCAAAATCAGGTATCTTCTGAGCATCACCAATGCTGACCAGTCAGTTTGAAAAAATGTGAGCCCTCACCTTGAGGAGTGACCACTGCCTTAGGACCGCCCCGCCAGGTCAGTGGCAGGAAGGTTGCACAAAGGACCTGGACCCATGAAGAGGGAATTCCCCCCCTCCTTAGGGGATCACCTAGGCAGCCAGGTGGTTGTCAGACTCATGGGCAGAGAGAAGGAGAAGAGAAAAGCAAACCACCCAAAGAGGGGGCTGGGATGGAGTTTTTTCACATTACATGGCCCCAAAGCTGCCGCTGCCAGCAGCCAAGCCGCAGAGAGGATGCCCACTACTCCAGGGCTGGGCTGCACGTGGCAGCCGCTCTGGGCCCAGGCTGCACAGCTCTGTGGTGGTGGCAGCCCCAGCTCCAGGACTGTGCTGCTCAACCCCACAGTGGCTCTGGCTTTAGGGCTGTGCAAGCAGCCCTGCAGCAGCTCTAGGGCCGTGCTGCACCACCCCGGAGTGGCTGGGGCAGGGACTGTGCCAGCTGCAGTGCCTGCCCCAGATCCTGTCTGGCCCATGGACTGGCCCCATTGCACTCATCTGGCCCCTGGGGCTGGATGAGTTTGACACCCCTGTTTCACTGGAAAGAAAATACTTGCTTTATTTTTCAAATGACCCTTCATGTCTTCCCCCTGCAGCTCTGGACTTCCTGTTAAGAGAAGTGGCCTAGTCTGAGTTAAGAAATTCTGTCTCTTATTAGTCTTTATTAAAATCCAAAATACGCATGATTTTTCTAGTCGTGCACAGCTTACTCAACATATGAATGTGCAGGGCGGAGTGGAAATAGAAAATATTAACAAAATAATTTATGCTGGGATTTTAGCAGCTTCTGATTACAGTCGGCATGGTGTGTCAGGAGTCCTGGATTTTCCTGCTGACCACCAGTTTCAGCAGAATTGGCATTCACAAAATCTGTTCAGATCTGTGGAGTGGATGGGGCCCCCCAGCTAATTCAAGGAGATAAAGGAGCATGGGTTGGGAGAGGAGATGAAAGGAAAAGGTGAGGGAAGCAGAGGGGGCAGGAAAGAGAGAGGTTGTCTCTTTGGGTCTTATTTATACACCATCTCCTGGTTTAGATGCAGTTACGCAGGGGAATCAGACGCTGTACTGAATATGATGGTATTTCTTGTTTTTTTCATTGCTCTGTGTGGCATTTTTTTCCTAGCTTGGATGGTACCCACCATAAACACCAGTGGCGCTATATCAGTAATCAGTACTGACATGTGTCCTCTTTCCTCTTGACAGATCAAATAACAAAAGGAGATCTTGAAAAAGTGCTGCAGAAGTTCACAGGGGACATAATGCAAGTTCCTCCACTGTAAGTCCGGTATTGCTTAGGTCTGGGCATGACTAGTAGTGATGCTCCCTTTTGGGAAGCTTTTCAGCCGAAGTCTCTTTTGCCAAGAAGCTGTTTTGACAAGAGGATATCGGCACGGCGGGCTTTGGAGGTTATTAAGCTGACAGGCTCACTGCCTAGGGTTGCATCTGGTTTAAACAAAGGACACAAATTGTCCCTCGAACTCTGCTTTGTGGTGGCTAAATTTTAATACAGAGCATCATCTGATGATGTTCTTACAGGGCTTTGTTGGGACTCTCTTATCTGTTAGCTGGAGGAAACTATTTCGAGGCCTCCATTTAGTTCTATAAAGTAAAGGGCTTTTTAGGTTTCATGCAGAAAGGTCTGAGATCGTTTTAAAATTTTCGTGCCTGAAAACCTAATTCTGTTTCCTACAAGCAAGTGATACATATATACATCTTAATGGGCATCTACCCATTATTCAAAGCCTGATGTTGGTGGCTTTTGAATAAGGCCATCTGTCACTAGTGAAATGAATGTAATTTCATTGATAGTGGGCACTTGCACAAGGCTATGTAGTTGGCAGTTGCTACCCCAAGATACCCAAGATCAACACTGGAAGGTTATTTCAGGTCAAACTGTGAAGCGGTGCTGTATGAGGCAACTTGCCTGTACAACACCAGCTGCAATGGCCATTGGTGAGTCCAGCATAGTGCTGTGAAGATGGGCGGTGCCATAGAGCTCAGTGGGACAACTTGTGTGCAACAGAAGCCCTGCCCAAATTATACCTTTTTACTGGTGTAACCAGCACAGCTTTTGTACATGGAGGTAAATGACAGCAGGCTCGTGAGCATATCCGGATATAACTGCATGCTTTAAAGACTGTCATGGCACTTGGCAAATGAACAGCCTCTAGGATCATTTGGGGACAGGCAGTGTCTAAACCAGTGTAAGTAGGCTTGGCAGAATTTGGTTTCACTTTTCAGTAATTTTGCCAGGTAATATCAATGCTTGTTTTTAAGCGTTTCTTTCAGTTTCTATCGATTTAAAATTTTCAGGATTGTGAGAAATTAAGGGGCTTGGGGGGCAGACATTTATTAATGGCGGTATACTATTGCAGTAGTGCAGTTGAACTGTAGGACTGCTGCCACCTGAGCGGCAGGGCTGCCATCAGTCCTGGCTCTGCTGCCTGTAGCTCTCTCGTCGACCTTGTCACTTCTTCCCTTGTTCGCAGTCCCTTGGGGCTCCTGGGGGGTTGCAGTCCGAGGTAGTCAGCACAGATCTGTAGGACTGCTCCCCCTGTTGTCACACACTCTATCAGCCATTATTTTTCTTTTGTCCCCTTTCTATAGATTTTGATTATTAAAGATGGAAATATTCTTTTGTTGGGGTGTGTGTGAGAGGTAAAATCGACGTTTATCAGCATTTACTGATAAAGATTGAACCCTGCCAAGCCTAAATATAGCTTATGCCTCTGTAGTTTTCCATTTGATTTTTCCCTTAATCTGTGGTAATTCTCTGGCAGATTCAAGTAAATTAAACCTCTGCAGGATTACCTTGTAAATGAGTGAGAAAGTTAGACCTCTGTAGGATTACCCTGCCTTCTGCCCCCTCCTGATTTATTGGTGAAAAGGCTGATTTTACCAGTGTAAACATGTCATGTGTCCAGGCTCAGAGTGAAAGGAGCTCTTTTCATCGTAAGTGGTAAATTTGGCTCTGAAGCCTTTTCAAACATAAGTGTCAAATGATTGACTCTCTTGTGTTTAGTTTGCAGTTAACTAGTTGCAGCGTAAACAGACCACTGTGTCTAAAAGGTTTTAGCAGCACTTGTTCCTTTCTTTTTTATAACCACTTGAAGAAGATTAGAAGGGTAAAAATGCATCCTAGTGGAGTGCAATATTAATGGTGTCAAAAGCCTGGAGAGCTTGCATTCTGCGTGACACGCTTTTGTATGCTCTATGTAATCAGCTGTTCTGCTTTGAAGAAAGATGGACAAAGGCTATCGTGTCTCATGAAGAAAGGAGTAGCAGTGGAAGCAAAGCCCGCTCGGCCGGTTAGCGTTTACAACCTGTCTCTCCAGAACTTCCAGCCACCGCTGTTCACACTGGGTAAGAGCCAAAGATTTGACACGGGCCGATGCCCTCAGCCCGTTGCTAAGGACTGCCTACACGCAGCCTGGGACCGAGCTCATGGAAAGGGTTGCCATTCCCACGGTCGGTTGTTTTGATGCGGGGCTGCGTATGGACGTTCCCGTTCTGCAGCGAGCGTGCTCCATATGGGTTGAGCCGAGGCCGATTAGACGTAGATATTATTCTCACATGCTGAGTCCGCGTGCAGCCCTCGGACTCGGTCCCTCCTTTGCAGGCCTCCCTGCTCACCTCTCCTCTATCTTGCCCCATCCTAAGAGCTGCTGACAGCTCTGCAGTGTCTTGAAACGGGGAGGGACAATGACACAGTAGGGAAGAAGGGGTTAGCCACCACCTGAAGCAATGTAGACGGGTAGCACGTCTAGAAGCACGGCAGAGAATGGGAGAGGCCCTTGTCACTCTCGACCTGTTTGGTGCTGAATGTGAGGGCAGGAAAGATTTACACCGTAGGGAATGGCCTAAGCATTCCCTTGGAAGTCCTTTGATGTACTGCACAGTGTATGGTAAGTAGGTAGGAGCACTATATTTCAATACCGTGTGTTATTTAAGTGGTTATTTTATGGTTGGGTGATTAGCAGCTGATCACAGGGGACTGGGAAGGGGGGTAAGCTAAAGGTGGATTTTAAAATGTCACAGTCCTTGTCGGAGCTGCCTGCGTTTTGCGCTGTGCATGTCGTTAGTGTTCGGGGGTAGGGAGGCAGCTTGGGGTAACATTTTCAAATAACTGTTTTTCGTCATTAGGAATTGTGAAACTTAACGACCTTTCAAGTGAACAAGGCTGAAGCACTTATTAAAATGCCATTGCCAATAGTTAATTTATAATGCATTTGCTGAGTCGCTGCTGTGTTTGCCTTCTCCCCTCTCTGGCTTTGCAATCTCACCCGCACATATGTTACAGGATGAATAATTTATATCGTATTCCATAAATATTTTATCACCGGATTGTTTGCTTAGTGCATTTTTACATTTGTTTGGGAGCACAGTTTCTATGTAAAATAGATTTCATACTGGGCTGACAATTTACCATGTCACTGTTAACATTGCAGATGTTGAATGTGGCGGTGGCTTTTATGTCAGAAGCTTGGTCAGTGACATTGGCAAAGGTAGGCAAAGAAAAAAGCACGACAGCTTAAGGAATGAATGTCTCTGGTAATACAAGAATATTCTCATTTTCCATATCTCTGGTCACCAGACCTGTGTGTTGGGTTAAAATGCTGCATTCTCGTCATTCATTTTATGTACTGGAATATTTGCCAGGAAAGGGTAAGCGGAGGAGGGCAAATATTTGCCAAGTGATTCCTGGTGGAGACTAAAAATTGAGGTCAGTAACAACATTGGTCAAGCAAAAATATATATATGGGGTAGGGGAGAGGGAAGTCATATGGAAAATTTTACATTACGAGTGAGCACAGGAAGAAGGATAAGCTGTTTCTTTTAAATGCAGAAAGCCTTAACCTGACTATATTAAAACCCTGCTTGCTGGAGACTTCTTCCCATTCATGATTATTTTGCTGCCTTTCATCTTTCGTGAGCTATGTTGCTTTCTTATTGGGTTATTTGTCTGGTTGCCCTACATCAGAAGAATGGCGCGATGGAGCGTTGGATAGACCATTTAAATGCTTTTCAAGGCTAAATTTGCCGTATGGAAAGCTGAATGGGAAGAGAGAACAGCAAGAATTTCAATACTATATTTTGTGCCTTGGCAAGTCAAGGCTTCCCTTTTCTTGTTATTGTCTGTGTGGCATTCTAGCTTGTGTTTAAACCTTTGAAAGATAAATTAAAAGAAAAGGTTCCTGCCCCAAATTTGCTCCTTTTCAAGATTTAAAGTGCAATAGAAATCCTCCCATGGCTGAGGGAATGCAGGTGTATTTTAAACTCTATGGTTCATCCTACATCTAGTGGCCCATTTTGTGTGTGTGTTGGAGTCTTCAGACCCTGCTTAGCGATTCATTTTATCTTAATGATAATGAATTGTTCTCCCAATGTATATTAGATTTTCCCGGCTGCTTTTGGTTTATACTGCCCTAATAATTGTCACGGGGGGATTTTTTCCCAAAATGCCCATCTCTGTTTTCAGAAGGTATGAAAGCACTGACACTCTGGAGGGCCTGTCTCCTGCAGTGGCAGCGGCGTCTGATGGGAATAGGGCCAAGTGGACCTGCATCCACAAGCATGCTCCCAACCTAGTAGCACACCCTGATGCTGCTCTGGGCTTATCCCTCTGAACTTGCTCTTGAGTCTGTCTCCAGCAGACATGAGAGCAGCTTCACTTCTCACCTTTTTGGAAAACATCACAGGTGGGTGGGAACATTGCTTGGACCCGTCTTTGGGCCCCGCTGCTGCCGAACCAGCTTCCGAAACCAACAGCGGCGTAGCTGCATGCACACAATGCCAGGCCTAGGGCAGTTATCCCTGTCACTTGGTGGTAGTCAGCCCTCCTCAAGATGACAGCTACACTGCTCTGAGGTCCGGGGCAAGCCTGCCAGTAGCAAGATAGCCTGCCTGAGGGTGCCACTTCTGCTATGGGTAAGTTTGGTACAGAGACACGGATTTTCATTCCTAAGACCTAACGTTGCTTCTCTGCCTGGGGCTCAGGCTCCAAAGTCACTGAGGCATTGTTGAAAATTTTACCATGGGGGAACAAAGAGTGCATATTAGATGCTGTTCTTCATCCTGCACCCAGTGGCCCACTGCTGTTTCCATTTTTCACCTCGCCTGTTCGTTCGAATTTGGAAAATCTCCTGCCAGCCTTTGATCTGATTCCGTTCGGCTGGAGCAAGCCTGTTGAAATTGAAGAGTGGTTGAGATTCCTGTTGATACAAGTGAGCTGAGAATATGAATCTGACCCTTTTTCTCCAACTAGGAATATGTGGAAACACTATAAATATTTGACGTGGGATTTTTTTAATGAATTCCATGATTTATAATTCGGGCTGTTCACTTTTTTTCCTGGTTGTTCCCCGCCCCCACCTTTTCCATGCAGAACTCTCTTCATGTGCCAGTGTGCGAGAGCTGACCCGAACCAAGCATGGGCCATTTACCCTAGAGGAGCACACGCTTCATGAAGACAAATGGACAATTGATGAAATTGCACGGTCCCTAGAGCATTGCATGTCTCTTCTCCCAGAAGAACCGTCACATAAAAAATTAAAGACTGAGCATTCGGAAGAATCTGCTGTGAGCTGTGAAGATAAGCGATAAGTCAGGTCAAGGAAAGAGACTGAATGATTGAGACATTTTGAGAGTGGACTGGGATAGTCTTGCCTTCCTGAGTAAATTTACAAGCCTGTACATGGAGGGTGATAGACTGCAGTGCAAGGAGAATGACCCCTTTCTCATATATGCACAAAGTATCTCGTGCTTATTGCTTCCTCACTTCTCTTCTGTTTTATACACTGAAAAAAGGTCTCTTGCTAAACACTAGCTTTTCACTGTATGCTGGAAAGATGCTGAAGAGAGTGTATCTTTTTGTTACTACATTGATACCAAAAAAAGTGTTTTATTTTTTATTAAATTTGGTAAATTTTGAGGGAGAGAAACAATTCATTTTTTGTGTAGCTGTTAGTCAAACTCAAATCCTAGATTATCACTGTAATGAAAGCCTGTGCCAGTTTGACAGATGCAAAAATGTGGAGTGACATTGTATTTCTTTTCTTAAAGAGATTCCTTGAACTGGAAATGATTTCACTGTAGCCCTGAAATGGTTTCAGTTGTAGTCCTTATTGTTTGGTGTGGTCTTTCAGTGGAACGTTACCCAGAATAAGTCAAGCACAAACTGAGCTTTTAAAATACCATGCAGTTAACTGCTCAAAAATATAAGCAGTCTCTAATGATAAGTTGTATTCCTTACTAATGTTAAATGGCTTGGAGCAGTGGGCGCACAATCAATGCACCAGCGTATAGTTATGTCTTGTTTTCCAAGGGGCAACTTTACCCCAGAGCAGCATGACTTAACTCTGGTAGACTGGCACATCCTGTGACTGCTTCTCTAGCACACCGGAGTAAATGTGCCATGTGTAACTCCCTTAGTAAGGAAGTGAGAGCTGGGGGAAACTCCCACTTCTGTTTACCTGAAGAAATAATGACCGAAAAGAATGTCGCTAAAAACGGTGGCTGCCCACTGTTCACGGCCAAATGGAAACATAATTTGACCTACCATATAAGATAGACTTTTGCATGGTAATTCCTGCAGTGGGGAAAATTGTTCTTCCTTACCATCTCTGTCAATGCTCTCGGGCCCTGGAAGTTGGGGCTGCCCCATATCTTTTGTGTAGACACACTGCACTTTGAATTTAAAGCCCCCCAAATGTTGGTAATGGAAATTGCCATTTCCTCAGGCAAACTGTTCTAGTGGTTAATTGAAGAAACCCATCAGGATTTTACAAAGGGTGGGGGTACAGCAGCTGGAGCTGCAGGAGTGGTTGCATCCCCCTCTCTCCCCCAGCCTCCTCCCTGCTCTTGCAGCAGCTGGGGACTTAAGTCCCGAGGAAGGTAAGAATTCCCCCCCCCTTCCCCTCCATACTTGGAGGCATGTCTGCTCCCCTCCTTTCCCCTCCCCTTCCTCTCCCCCACCTGCCGCTGCCAGCATCTGTACTGTCCCGGGGCAAGGGGAGTTCCTGTCCCACTCCAGCTGGGCTATGCTTATTCAGGACGATGGCAGCTGTGGCTGCTGTTCCTGCTCCCAGGTCGGTGGAGAATGCCTGGGGGGAGCAGGCAAGGAAGGGGAATGCACCCATCTGCTGCTGCCCCAGTCCCAAGCTGAACCCAGCACCCATACAGCTCAGCTTCTGCTTCCCTCGCTCTGGGGACAGCGGCAGCAGCAGGCTGTGGAGGGGATGGAGATGGGAAGGTATATGCCTTTAAGCATGGAAGAGAAGAGAGGGGGGTAATTCTTACCTTCTTTGGGACTTAAGTCCCTGGCTGCTGCTCTTGCGGCATGGTCAGAAAGCGAGGTGCAGCTGTGCCACTACCCCCAGTCTGGCTCTGCCCTAGGTTAATGGTTTTCAGCATTGAAAAAAATGTTTCATGTTTTCAGTCTTCTAAGTGAAATCAGACTAAATAAAGATTAAGTTTCTCACTGTAGATGTTGGAGATTTCTGCTTATTTTTGTAGTTCTTACTGATGGAATAAGAGATTTTAAAATCCGGATAAGGTTCATGAAGTATAAGACTTTTCAAGTTTTTATCAGACCTGAGTTTTGAGCCTCAGGTAGTGTTTTCCTTCTTGTGTCTGCATATCTATTCTTGGTCTAGGTGAAGTTGACATATTAAGACATGTAAAATTAAGGAAAAGTGTGGTCAGCTTCAAAAGAAAGTGAACACTTTGGAGGCTGTTTATTTAATAGTCTAGGAGAGGCAGGGTTTCATAGTTTCATAGTTAGTAGGGTCAGAAGGGACCT